GGAACACAAGCAGGGGGAGTGGGAGAGGGAGAAGCAGGCTTCCCGCTGGGCAGGGAGCCCGATGCAGGGCTCGATCCCAGGACCCTGGGACCATGACCCGAGCCGAAGGCAGACGCTAATGACTGAGCCACCCAGGCGCCCCTTAATTTATTTATTTACTTATTTGAGAGAGAGAGAGAGTAAGTGAGAGAGAGCACAAGCAGGGGTAGAGGAAGAGGGAGAAGCAGACTCCCCGCTGAGCAGGGATAAATGTCTTAAGACAGTAGAGTGACATATGCTCTGTTGTTAGGCCAAAATGTTGAGACTCAGTAATCTCATACGTAATTTTTCCTTCATGTGTGAAGGCAACAGCTGACCTTTTTGGATGTGTAAAGCCTCAGAGATAGATCACCAAGATATTCTTTTTGAAAATAAAATTACTAGCTGATGTACTTTCATCCACCTAAGGATAAGCAAAACATCAAATCAAAACAAAAAAAGACACTCAAGAATAAAAAAGAAGTAGTGCTGAATGCCACATTAACTAAAATAAAGTTGAATTTAAATGTTTATTGTGTGAATGATATAAAATAATGCAGATGTAAAAATTTCTTGAGAGTTAAAAAATGTGAAAACGGCTATCTGGATCAAATTAATCAGATTATTTAAAAGAAAAAATGGGTAGGAGAAGAGGCAGATGTGCTAAGCTGTTATTTAAAAAGATAGGACATGGAGGTTGGTTTTTTGCTTATTGACTATTAGAGAAGTATATGTTAAAAATAATTGTGAAGCAGTGCCTAGGTAGCTCAGTCAGTTGGGTGTCTGCCTTTGGTTCAGGTCATGCTCTCAGGGTCCTGGGATAGAGCCCTGCGTCGGGGCCCCTGCTCTTAGGGGAGTCTATCTTCCTCTCCCCCTGCCCCTCCCCCTGCTCATGGTCTCTCTCTCTCTCTCTCAATTAAATTAATCAGATTTTAAAAAGAAACCAAAACCAAAACAAACAAACATATGTTTCCAAAATATCTGCATTGGGTCATCTCTGAGTTTAATTTTGGGCTTTAATTTCTTTGATTCTGTACATGAAAGAGACCAGATCAGTGTTGGGATGGTGCTTCTGTTGCTTTATTAATGTATCTACTCCAATTTAGCATACCTACTATGTGCCAATATACATATATTGGCACATATAATACATACCAGGGATCCAATATAAGTAAGACAATAATTTCAGTATAGGACCTGGTAAAATTTTGGGCAGTTGACCTTTTTTCCCCAAGTAAAGTAAAATAAATGTAGTGGCAAAAATTTGCAAGGCAGGTTAGTTGCTCTTTCTCTTTTTAATAAATAGGTATTTATGAGGTATTTTAATTTTACCATTTAAGATATGGGGAAGAGGGGTCCCCTGTCTTTATTTTCCCAAGCGCCTACACTTGCCACCACCCTGCATGTTCCTGTTTCCAGTTTTTTCTCACCTCTTGGTCTCACAGCAGCCAGTAGAAGCTTTTGATATTCTCATGGAATATGAGAATATGAACAAACTCATGGACGATTTTCCCTCTCCTCTCTCTCCTTTCAGTCTACAGACAGACAGGTGATTTTATGTATTTATCTTACTAAACCACCAGAGAGAAAAACACAAGAGAATTATCAAAGGAAAAGGTCAAGAGTATAAAGTTTTGAATTGGAGAGGTCTCCATCCAAACTAATATAAATAGCCAAGTATTTTGGGCAAGCCCTGAGTCAGTGTTTGAAAAGGTTTGTGAATGCGTGTGTGCGCATGTGTGTGTGTGTGTTGTTGGTTTTGTGCTTGTCATTCCTCTCCTGTCCCCTGTGCCCACCCGTGGTGCTGTCAGCCTCACCTGGGTTGCCAGGGAGTGTGCAGCGGTGTCCTCCCCTCAGTAAGTGACTTGCGTTTTCTCACCCACCAGCATGGCTCCGTACCCTCCGTTGCCTCGTGTGTGGAAGCATGGCTGCCATTTTACTCCTCCCTTTCTGTCCAGCTGTACCAAAGTCTCCTTTCCCTGTAGATCCACATAGTGTCCATGTTGGATATGCTTATCTGTATTTGCATGTGAAGAGCTTTCTGTGAAGAGAAAGTTTCGTTTGGCCCTCATTATTCATGCCACCATCCCACTGACTCAAAGGATGCTACTTTTAGGAAAGAGATCCTCATGGTGGGGGGACTGCCTCCTAAACTCAGTGAATGATTATACAAACCATTCCCACCAGTGGAAGAGAGGGCTATTTCATCAAAACCTGTGTATGTTTGGAGAATATAGACACCTGATTTTTTGTATTCTCCTGAATCTCAAGAGATTCCCTTCCTTTGGCTACTATGTAAGTTCAAAAAGATTCACAAGTGACTGCTCCTTTTGAATTTCTTAGACATCAGTGTATTTTACAGGAACTCCATATACAGGTTGACTCAATTACTAACTTTGGCCAGAAAATTGGTATTGGAAGTATAGTATTGAAATAGTTGTATGGTAAATGATTATGATTAACCAAGTCTCTATCTTGAAATATCTAAATCTAATTTTATATTAAAAATAGATTTAAGATGACTGTTTCATTGTTTGTATTTCTCCTCTGAATGCTTGTCTTCTGGTAACTTTTACATGTCTTCATCATGGCAGATTAATGACCTGCAGAGTGAACTTGATAAAGAGAAAGAAGATGCTCAAAAGAAAATCCATAAATTTGAGGAAGCACTGAAGTGAGTAAAATTGTAATATATTTAATTAAAAAATACTCTTTTTCTAGACTGTGAGCCACATTAAGCAACTAGAACTTAAACATCATATTTTTCTAAGAGCCTTGCTGTGGTTTAGTTTAAATTGGTTTTCCACCATGAATCTCTATTTTCTGAATTTTATTACCAGCCAGCACATATTTTTTTTTCAAAAAGGAAAAATCAGTTCATCTGTTTTTAAGTGATAGGAATGTAAGAAAATAGAACTTAGTGGTTTTAGATGCTTTCTTCCTCTTAAATGAAAACAGATTAAAAAGAAAAAAACAAGATTTAGGTCTTAGAACATTTAGAAATTTTTCTGTAGATTTTTTTTTTGGAGAAATTTGGGTAATGAAATGTTCCAGTTATATCTGAAAAGGGACTATTACACAGGCATTATTTGGAAAAGATTTGTCTCATGATGTAACACTTAAATATACACATTAAAGCGTCAGATTTTATTTATCTTCTCCATTCATTTACTAGGTTGATTAGGCCCTATTTATCGGTAGGTTTTATCACTCAGTTTTTAGCTGAAAAACATTGATTTAGTCATTAAATATTGAGTTTCCACCCTGTGTCAGGCAATGTGTAGTCTCTTCCCGGAGGACCTTAGAATCGGTTGGAAAGATTTTCAAGAACTTTGGCAATTATATTACAGAGTGATAAGAAGAGGGTACTTGACCCAAAAAAGTGATTTAAGAAGGGAAGCTTACCGGGGGAAATCGGAGGGGTAGACGAACCATGAGAGACGATGGACTCTGAAAAACAAACAG